TATTAAGAGAACCACAAACTATTCACTCATTTAGAGAACACCTAACACAAAACAATGCTAAGCATCTTGCATGCTATCTTCTTATTTTAGTTAATAATAACAGAACTGAAGCACATGTATACTTACCTGATGATTCTGATATACTACACAAATCACTATATATTTTTCATAATATATGACTCATCTAATATTTCATTAAGATCCAAACCAAGCTCATCATTTACACCACCTATCTCCTCTACCTCATCCATTCCAGTATATCAACATAATAACCAAGATGAACCTCTTAATCTGTTTATTTGCACACATAATGTTTATAGATATATACAGACCTTAAGCAGCAAGTCTATGAAAATTACTGTCTTACCAATAACTTACACATTATTAGTATAACTGAAACTAAGATCCCACAGGAAAAGCTTGTACCAAACTTCAAAAATCAAGAAACTTTACCTACTACTGGTCTTGCACAAATAGTACTAAAGCAGGCACAGCATTAATGCTAAGAAACTGTTTTAAACCACATGTTAATAAAATTTTTTCTTTTCCTAGTTATGCAGTTGCAATTGACATTCTTTTTAAACATGATTTCAGATTCAGAATCATTTTAGTTTACTTACTCTGTGACAATTCACAGTTAAGACTTGAAGTTCAAAACACAGTTATCCAATAGTTATAGTCAGCAGTATCTAACAACTTACAGCCTATAATTATGAAAGACTTCAATGCTTCTAGTGATAACTTACAATCTACATCTATTAAATATAAGTTACTCCAATATCTTCAATACAATAATATATATGACCTAGCAGTATATACTCAATCATCAACCAATACATAAAACAACAGTAGATACTCCAGCTGTATTGATTATATATAGTTCAACCATTCAATTCTACACTATTTAACTCATACTATACTGATGACCCTAATACTAGTACTAAAAGTGACCATCAAATTTTAATCTCATTCTGGGTCTTTCTATATGCACTTATAGATAAATGATGTACCTCTACCAAAACACATAGAAGAGTATTTCTTTACAAAAATATTAATACAAAGCAATAGCAATTATTTGCTAACCAAGTCTCCTCCAATCTTTTATTAAATAACACACCACTTACAACCAATACCTCTGAATTACTCGAATGCACCTGGCATAAAATCCATATTAGCATAATCTCTGCAGCTCTCTAATATAACTCTAACAAATGATTCACTATACATGACTTTCAACATATTTACTCCCCTAAAGCATCTCAACTACAATTTCATCTTAAAAAATTAAGCAATATTATTCGTCAAGTTAAAGCATCTATTAGAAACAAAACTTCTATACCTAATAATCAAATGCTACAATTAACTCTATCAACTTAACCCACAATCTTGATATTTCAACTATACCAACTAGTCATTATCTTTTGCCAAGCTGGATCACTAACAGCAATAATGCATAGAAAGCTCTCTATCATGTACGTAATATTGAAAACATTAAAGAAATAAGACAACAAATCAATAACAATATTACCAAGTGATGCGATAAGCTTTATACCAATCCCAAATCTATGATTAATAGTATACTCAACTGATATAAAGATCCTGTAAAATTTAATAATATTATAATAGACAATGATGTTATTACCAATATCTATAATATCAAAACCTACATACAACAACATTTTGACCAGTGGACTGGTTCTCGAAATGTTGATGAAGCTATCTTTAAATCTATATGGTATAACGAATATGAACCTCAAGACTATATCAATTCAGACTGGTATCAAAGTGCACTCCTTGAATTTTCTACTGAGGAGGTTTTATCTACCCTTGCACAATTACCTAACAACAAAACCTGTGGTCCTTCAGGCATTAGTTATAAGATGCTCAAACACACAGGTTTATCCTTCTTGCAAGCAATTACATCTCTATTTAATAAATATATCATATTTAATAAAATATCTAAACAATGGAAGGAAGGTAGAATTTTTCTAATTTCTAAAAAACCCATCTTCAATAGCAACCTTACTAATACTAGACCTATAAGCTTACTTGAACACACCAAAAAACTTTACACCAAGCTTCTAATTAACTGTCTCAACTATATATTCACTAAACATCTAATCCTTTCTTCCTATAATTATATTGCCTTACCAGGCAACAGCACTTTCATTCCTATATATATCCTTAACAATATTATAGAAGATGCTACTTGTAATTCCAAAAATCTCTGGCTTATATCACAGGATATGAGTAAAGCTTATGATTCTGTCAATCCTAACCTATTTCGAAAAGCTCTTTTACATCTAAATATGCCTTTGCAACTTATTGACACTCTTTTCAATTTGCTTACCAACTGACATAATAGAGTTATCTCAAATCTAGGTCTCACTGATACATGACTTGAAAGTTCAATAGAATAAAGCAAGGTATAGTTTATTATAAATTTAAATAGCTATATAAAAGAAAATAATTAAATAATTATTTGTTATTTTTAATAATAATTATTGATTATATAAAAGATATACAATTTTTTTTAGTATCAATAAGATAAATTTTTTCACATAAAGGGTTAAATTTGAATAAAACTGTAAAGATCAATCTGGTTATTAACAAGGCTTAAATTCATTCTTTAACCAGTTCAAGGCTAAATGTTTGCAGACAGAACCACAAATTATTTAAAGAATTAACATATCATAATTCAAAAATAACAATACAATCAATTGCTATATTCAAATAATTCATTGTTTAAGCTAAAATAATTTGGAAGAAAAATCATTTGAGAAAATCAAATAGTTAAAAAAATCAATTTACTTATAATGTTTTCAAAACTGTGAAATATATGATCACTTGTTTAGCTCTAAATAGATTGTAGATATCAGATAATAAAGAATAATGCAAATTTGGAAAATCAAACATATACTTATTCAATTTTATAAGTATTGTTCTATTGTGTTATAGGTAATGACAGGTAATAGAAATCAGATCTCCAGAATCAGGATCTAATTTTATATACAGAATAGTATAATAGCAATTAAGATCAGTAAGCGACGACTATGAGAAAATAAATTACTAAATCAGATATTACACATTAAAAGTTAGACTAACAATCTTATACAATACAAAATACCAGAGCAAATGTTACTTCAGATGCAAAGATATAACATGTGAAGTTTTAATATGCATTCACACCTTTGCTTCACCATATGCATATATCTAATAAAATGCAAGATGATGCATATGAATTCTATTTAATTTGCTATATAACTATACACTATGTGAAATTTTCAATATCACTTCGTTCCTGGTATAAGGGTTCAAAAAGTACAAATACAGGCCTGAATTAAAAATAATTATATATAAAGAGTTTTAGTTAGAATAACTGGCAGTGATCATCACTGGTGTATAATTAGCCAATAATAATAAACTAAAAAAATATTTTATTTCATTTACTTTAGGGTTAAGGTGAGGCCTGAGATTTTAGCAAGGTGTTAAATATATGCAAAATTTAGCAAAGAATTTTTTTGTTAGAATGTCAAATGTAGTTTCATAGGCGAATTCTTGAAATATCAGCATTTTTAAAAAAAAATCTTTTATTGTTGTTACACAAATTGATTTGCACATTACACCTGATCCTGCAATTCTATTGGCTAATTATATACTGGTGATGATCACTGCCAGTTATAGTTACTAAAATACATATATAAAAGTCTAATTTTTTAAAAAATATTGTATATAAGACCCAAATATATTGTTGGCTAAAATATATAATCATGAAATTACTGCTCTATAAAGTACTATGATCATTTGAATTATAACAATTGCAAATTGTGATTATAGGATTATTAATTATTTTATTATAATATTTATATTAATCTATGCACCGATTATTTGATTAAAGGATAAATAAAGTGATGGTCATAACTATTTTTACTTAAATATTATATAAAAATAGTGTTTAACTAGCACAATTATTTATAAAACAAAGATGTTTCAACAGAGTAGCTCTTTAGAGCTAAATAAATATTTTCTATATTAGTAAATAATTCAAAATGCTTTACTTGATATTATAGTAGTTTGTTATAACAATAAATAATTTTATACAAAGAAAATAAAATTTATTAAATTTAAAAAAATTTTTTTACTAATTTACAATCAATAGAGTGGAAATAACATAATTATGTTATTTTCACTTAATCTAGGTTATGTCTGATGACGGGATCATATGTCTGTCGGCATTCGAGTGACGAACGATTCGCACTTACATCGTCAGAGATACATTAGTATTCGCTCCATCATTCGAGTAACAAATGATTCATGTTTGCGTCGTCAGAGATATATTAGTATTCGCTCTATCATTCGAGTGACGAATGATTCGCGTTTGCGTCGTCAGAGATATACTGACAAGCTAATATTCGCTCCATTATTTGAGTGATGAACAATTCACACTTGTGTCGTCATTCGAGTGACGATTTGTTCACGAGTTCGTCATCACACTTGGGTACCCACAACCTATAAAAAATATAACGACGAATTTGTAGTCATGTCATCTCATTTCATAATTTTGGTTACTTGATAGGTAGACGGCTTGTATACTCTTTAGAAAGTCAAATTCGATAACAATATTTGTATACTAGTTTGGTGTTTGTGGTCGATTTACATATGCGACATAATGTATGCTGGTTTATTAGTCGTGACTGATTTCCTATAATATACCTTTAATATATACTCCATACCTACCTATGGTATATGCGCATATACCTACCTCAATATATACTCGATATATACTATGCTATATCACTATATCTATTGCAAAGCAATGGCTCTCGAGCCTACTATGATATATACCTGATACTTACCTTTGATATATCATATACCCATAGAAAAAATAAAAAAAGGTAGGAGTCGATCATACTATCATATATATGCTATCGGGTATACTACACACATGCTAACCGGTTATGCTATCGAAAATTGTAATCACTCATATTCACTATCCTAAAATGCATTTAAAACGGATTTGCTCACGTCCAAGAAAAAAATCGTTAGCATTAAAAATGTTATCAGGAACTGCTATCAAATCGATTTTGCCTATGATTAGAGACATGTCATATCAAAATATATCAGCTTATCTTGCCCCTAGTTGGCTCTAACTCGACCCTAGTTGAAATTTTACTAAGGCCACTACTAGGACCGGCATTTTGACTTTCTGGAGCTGTTTGATTTCTTTCTTTTATCCTTGTCCCTAGTAACCCTAGTGTCCTTAAGAAAAAGAAGATTCTAGAAAAAAAATTTTATTTCTCTATGGTACCTACTGTATATAATAGATAATACGTATATATGTATATATAGATAACACATATATATGATAGATAAAGAAAAATAAAAAGTAAGAAACTTGAGATTTTGCTAGGTCCACTAGAGTCACTAGGGACAGCTATTCGAGTAATGGTTCTAGAATCTAAAAAATACCAAATTATGCCAAATTGCCGGCCGCACTTCTGACCCCAGCTAATTTTTTTTCTTAAGGCTTATCTGTACTGGTTTTATCGGGAATTCGTGTCAAAGATTCTATTGTTTGCCCATTCTGTACCATTTTAGATAGCTTATTCTGATAATAAAAGGCTTTAGCATGGCATTTATCCGCATGTAAATTACATAAGCTATACTTAGAAGCGGTCGGTTTGCCACACTCTAAACAGGGAACGTGTTGACGCCTTTTCCAATGAATAGCACATCCTTCTTGCCAATAGCAAGGCCGACCACAGATCTTCCCCTCATTAGTAAGATACTGACAAATATAAGTTCCTGTCATCGATTATTATTTGTCGAAACTTACTTGATTCCATATAATATTATCTCAGATAAAAATATTCAATAATTATTTTCGATTTAAACTTTTTTATCAGGGTAATATATTATAAAAATAACCTGACTTTACCTACCATGGATACCCAAAATTTCCAAAAAAATATTGATCACGTGCCAGCAATAGCAGACGCACCACCTTATCGACCAGAAAGCCCTGAAAACTCGGAACATTTCGAGCCGGAGATAGAGAAAGAATACGAGCTGAGATCTGAGAATTAAGAGAACAGGGCCATCTACCACTGGGGGGCCAAAGCTGAGAGCATTGCTGAATATCTATATAAAATCCGAGATGATAGTAAAGAGCCGAGACAATTTCTTGGTACAGATTCTGAGGATGGGATAGAAAAAATCTTTGCAAATTGACAGGATCATTCACTACATGAAATTATCAATGGCGATGACCCACTTCGTCCCTTTATCGATTTCGATTTATCTAGAGAAAAGTTTGATAAAATTAAACCCAAGCTTACAGCTAAAGAAGTACAGAATTTATTTTGTCGTGCCTTTAAAGAAGTGTGTCTAGAAATATATTCAGATTGGGATCGCAAACCACTAACTATTGCCAGTAGTAGCAGCCCAAAAAAAATATCTCTCTATATCTCAACTTTCGGTATGAGACTTAAATATATAACAGCTTGTGCATTATTTACTGAGCTTGTTCGCAATAGACTCCCAGTCAGCTTACAAAGCAAAGATATTGTTGATAATATTGCAAATAAGAGTTCATTTTCCCTGCGAATTCTTGGAAGCCCAAAAGTGATAGAAATAAAATATAAGAAAACTGGTAAAAAAACTTCTAAGCATGAACAAGTAAAGAGAGCATTATATCCCGAAAATAAAAGTGTCTTTGATTTTATCTTCGCCCACCTAACGATGAGGCGCCAGTTATAGATAGTCCTCTTTAGATACTTTAAAGTCGAATATAAACAATTCTTCTCAATCCACTCCAAGATTGAATATAGAAAATTCTTCTATACCCGTCTCAGAGTTAATTAGAATATGTAATAATAGTATAGAAAGTAGTGAGACAGAGCTTGAATTAATAAAGGAGTTATTAGAACATGCTAATATTTCAGGATATGAAGTATCGTACGCTACAAAAAAACATTTTAACTCTTTTTATCTTAAACGCATAGTACCTTCAAATTGTCCATTATGTAAACAGGAAGATAAAGACCAAAATGATCACATACATGAGAACGACAACGCATACATTATTCGAAATAAGAAATTATATAGCTTCTATTGCTATCGTGCAAATGATAAGAGAGATCCTGGAACAAAAAAACCTTCGATAAAACTTACTATTAACGAAACAGCCAAGGATCAAGAAAATAAACTTTCAATTCCTCCCAAACTAGAACAATCCAGAATTTCTAATCCAAACGATCATTTTGTATGGGGGAACCTGCTGGATATATGTGTTTCCAAACAAAGATATACACACAAAGAGGTATATGAAGCAATTCAAGCAATGGTTGCATGCGTTTAAACAACTTCAAGACTGTGGTTGTTTAAAATGGAAGATTCAGATAATGGTCTTTATTTTGATATGGCATCCAAACTAGATCTTGCCAAATACGAAATTAGTATAACTGAACATGGGGGGGAGTCAGTAGAATTAAAAACATTAATAAATCGGGCAGTTTCAAAAGGTCTGATTCTTTACAGTAATATTGATTTTCTGCCATATTCTCCAAACACCTCTCCATCGAATACCAAATTCTTTAATCTGTTTCTAGGATTCAAAGTTCAGTCATCAGTCGAGATAAATTTTGCTCTCATTGATCCGATCACTTAGCATATAGAAAATGTTTGGTGTAATGGGGATAAAAATCTATCTGAGTATGTTATTAACTGGTTGGCTTATCTTATACAATATCCAGAAAAAAAACCTGGAACTGTTTTAGTATTACGTTCCCCTCCTCGTTCAGGAAAAAATATCTTAACTGATTTTATTGGTATGGAAGTCTTAGGACAAGAATTATTCTTTGCATCATCAGATCTCGGAAAAATATTAGGACGATTCAATAGTTGCATCCAAGCTAGAAAGCTTATTCTTTTAAATGAAACAGGGATGGTATCGAGAGAATGGCAAAAGGCTAATGACCATTTAAAATCTCTTATTACTGAGCCAAATATAACTATAGAGCGTAAGGGGATTGAACCAAAAACAATCAAGGATTTTGCTGGATATATGGTTCTTAGTAACCATGATGCCCCACTTTGTGTTGAAATAGGTGACGGGCGTATAGTATGTTTAGATGTGTCTTCGCGATGCAAGAGTAATATGAGATATTTTAAGCAACTTGAAAAAATTTTGAAACATCCTAATACACCTAGTAATTTCATGAGCTATTTACTTAAATGAGATCTTTCAAATTGGATACCACAAGATATCCCTAATACTAATATAAAAGTTGAAACAATGCGAGGTCACCTTCCCAACCCTATTCGATTTATAATTGATTATATCTCACTATAGTCTGAGAATCAGATTGATAAACCAAGCTGTGCTACTTTATATCAAGATTATCTCACTTGGTGTGGAAGTAATGGAGAAAAACCATCCACTAGTAATGTTCTTGAGAAAAAAATCTCGCAAATAGGTATTGATCGTACACGTTCACGCGATGGTGGAGTAAGAGTATATCAGTACATTCTCGATCGATCTAAAATCGTAAGCAAACTACGTGAAAAGGGTATCGATATAGAAGAATTTTCTGACATACCTCAAACCGAAACATCCACCAACACATCCATAGAAATCCCTATATTCGATGCTCCAGAAATCATACCCCCCAAACCAGAAAAAATAGAAGCCACCTCATCAAATACCGATCGTATCGAAAAAGGTAGGAATACATCAACCCCACCAGTTACTAAAATGACCCAAGATCTCTTCGATTTAATAATAGATCAACCAGAATATTCAGTTGCTTCGTCATATAACTCTACTGATATATCTCCACCCGAGATCATATATGTAGAACCTATTGACAATAAATCTAAATCTCCCGAAATCTCTCCCAACTTACCTGTAAACAATGAACCAAAAACCAGTAACGAAGTAGAGACAGAGTCTCGAATCTCAGATTCATCTTCCCAGCAGATATCATACCCACCCGGATATCAAACCAGGGAGCGGCGAGAAATACGATTAAAGCAAAAAGCCATCGAACTTGGTAAAGATCCTGACAAATTTGTTACTATTACCGAAAAAGACAAACTCAATTCCATAGCATTCAGTAATAGAATGCAGACTGATGCGAGAATGTGTGGTTTTGCAAAGGAGGCTGAAGAAGACCCCAGTGAATATATGGATATGACAGTGTGGGAAAGATTAATAAGTGAAGAAATAATTCGCCGTTCTCTTGAGGAAGATGGAATCACCTCATCATGGCTGGATACTGACGAGGAATGGAAAAAAACAGTGAGCATACTCCAGGCAAATGGTATGCTATGGTAAGTTTATATGCATATAAAATAGATGCAAAGCATCCTCACTTCGTGAAAGGAGTGAATAAGGTAAATTTTGCAGGTAAGAGCTTTGATATAGGGGAATTTTTTGCTCCTACAAACTAGTTAATATAAAAATTTTCAGTTAAAAAATATTATGCAAACTCTGTGTTATATATACCCATACGTAGCTATATATTCTCTTTTCCCGAGTATGGGAGGAAAAAGCATAATTAATTTCGATTTAGAAAAATATTTTTATAGTGTATATAACCTAAAGAATTACTCATAACCTATTCGACCTACTATTAGATCATGTTAGCCATCGCAACTAAAATCGTTGAAAAATACAACCTTACCTCTAAAACGAGTATGTCTAAACTTAGTCAATACACCTCAGAGTTTTTCGAGAATCTCACAGATGATAGGAAAAGAAATCAAGCACGAAGGCGTCTTCGGGATGGATTCAAATTTAGCAATGAACAAGTAAGTATATTAATACCTAATCAAAGAAGTGGTAAAGCTAAAGTCAAGCATAAAGTGCCCTGCTCTACAGTAAATCTTGCTGAAGTTAGTTATAGAACAACTACACCCTCCGATAGTTTCCAAGTTCCTGACTTAACTCCACAAAATTCAGAAGAAACTATTAGAGAGATGGCGCATCGATTTTTACGGGATAAGCTTAGTATTAGGGATATAAGAGCTGAAGCTTATGCCTTAGCCCTATCGGCATTAAATGCTAATGCTGGTTCATCGCGTCTTTCACGACTCAGAAGAGAATTAAGAAATCTCGGTGTTTCATCTGAGATAATCGATGCTACAAAATTTCCTGAAATTACAAGAGAAGCTAATGAAATCCAGCAGAATCGACGGAAATTTGTTGAGGCATTCGAAAGAATTGATTATCCAGATTATTTTACATTAGAATCAGTTAAGGAAAGATTAGATAAATATAATATTTCTACTTCGCCCGATTTACAAGCTCTTGTAGATGTTATGATAATGCTTTGTATATGCCCCGCTGAACTTACAACTTTATGCATTACAGACATTGGAGTGACAGGCTTTGCGAAGAATCGAGGTCAACCAGATATTCCTAGAAAATTTAGATCTATGGAGAAGGATCAAGAAAGAGCCAGAGAATTACTCACTTGAATTCAGCATACAATATCTTC